ATATATATATATATATATATATATATATATATATATATATATATATATATATAAAATTTATATACCGCTTCATAGGTCTTTTTCAGCCATCTCTAAGAGGTTACAGCTCTGGGTCCTCATTTTACCCACCTCGGAAGGATGGAAGGCTGAGGCAGTCTTGAGCCTAGTGAGATTCCATCTGCCAAACTGCTGGCAGCCAGTGATCAGCAGAAGCAGCTTGCAGTACTGCACTCTAACCACTGCACCACCGTAGATTGATCTCTCTCTATATCTATCTAGCTGTCTAGCTATCTAGCTATTTATTTATCATCTCCATACCTATACATGCATATACATATAAATGCTATGTAAATATGTATGGCATATACATATACATAAACAATACAGTATTTATAAAAAATACATTAATTGTAAATATGTGACCATAGAGGATAAAAAATGTCACAATAATGCAATTACATAAATCAGATCACTGAACGTTATGCATGTCAAGCAATTATTGTGTTAATGGACCACTTTGGTTCCATATGAGCGTTTGTAGCAAAATATCTGTGCAAGGTTTATGCTCTCTTGCTGGTTTATAATCAAATATATTGGTTGCCCAACTTATAGTCAGTCTTAGCTTCCTCTTTTCATTTTCTGAATTATTTATACCTATTTAACTCCTAGACAATTAGTTAATTCCATTTATTCATTGACTTAGCGTTGATTAAATCGGACTGCCTCAAGGCTCTCACTTTTATGTTAGGTGAATTTATTATAAAGGCTACATCAATGGGAAGCAAGTAATGGGGTTCATACTGAGTTATGGTTTCTTTATTTGTAGTTTATTGAATAAATCACCACAGGCTTGGTGCATGCCACATGCAGTGTCTTAAATGATTGGTTACAGTTCACAAACTTTTGCTTTGGTGAACCAAGTCATTATCTCTTGGAACAATTCTTGTATATCCAATTTAATAGTGCAGTCATAAACACGTCAAAGTGGAGAGAGTCTACCTAGAAAATAAGAAATATTTCAGAAACTTTTGCAACTAAGTGTCAGGGTTCCCAGTAACAGCCTCAACAAAAGAAGACCCCGAGGCTTGAAGTTCCTCAAAGTTATATTTTATTAGAGATCTCACATTAGCACATCTGGGAAAACCTGAATCTCAAAGTTTCCATGTTTTTCCCAACCAAATGAAAATCCAAGTCCTTGCCCAGCACCCTCATGTCCATCACATGATCCAATCAGGCACCATCCCAACTGGAGATGCCTCCCAGTCACACCATCGCAGCTGTAGGGGCAAGGTGTCCTTGACTCTCTGAGAAAGGAATGTTACTTAGACTATATATCACCCATACTCCATATAATCCACCCTCCCATTTTTCCACAGCAGAAAATGTCCCAATTGAAGGCCCAATGTAAAAGATGGCTTCCAGGTCTAATACCAAGTGTGAAGCTAGAATTACTGAAGAAAATCAAGGACAAATTCAATTTCTTATCGTCTTAATGGTAAAGGCGTATATTTTTTTAGTAACTTTAGTTTGCAATGCATCATTAAAGAGAGTTCTTTATTCAGTTACAAATATGCCACATAAAAAACATAATCATTCATATACTGTATATATAAAAAACCAACTCTGAAGAACCCCACCTCCACTCATTGCAAGTTCTTGAAAATAGCTGGATTACTTTTAATATGACATGGAAAACTACCTCTCCCATGAAGCTTTGCAGCTGCAGTTTCTCCTTTGTTTTCACCAATAAAAGCAGGCTTATTCAGGGGTGTAACTTCAGAGTCTCCGGTGACATTTGTTCTGTGTATAAAGCCAACTGAGGTTGAGCTTTAGCATCACTATTACATCTGTGGATTCTCGTGTAAATATTTTAAATAAACCTTGGCTCTTTAGACTCCCTGTTTCTGAAAAAGCAGTGTGTGTTTAAAAAATGGATGCAATATTCAGCTGCAGGCTGGAGGATATGGAAGATTATTACAGCTTGCTGGGATGTGATGAATTATCTACAGTAAGCTAACTTTTAAATGTATATATTCGCTTTCCACCTTTGCAATTCCTTTGAACTTTGTGTATAATAAGACTGCTGACTTTTTTTCATTTTTCTATAATGTTCCCAAACCTGTCCCTACTATAGTAATTAATCTGTTTAGTCTTTTTCTTTAGCCATCTTCTGTAATACTGCTGGAAAAGTTTCTTTTGAATTCTGCATTGTTTATTTATATAGCCGAACCATTGTGTCATGTAAGTGTGAAGTCATCTTCAAAGAAAACTTGTGGATTTCTAGAAAGCTAATCATAAGGCAAACAGCTAAAGGGATGTCTAGAAAATAGCTCCTATGATGCTTAATAAGATTTATATCAAGTAAGGGGGGAAAAGAATAATGAATCATTCATAGGAGACGAATTGTGAAATATTAACAAATCTTTTAGACATTTAAGAATGTTTAAAATCTTGGATACATTACAAAACATTCAGTCGATTATATGTGATAAACACCCTTTAATTATTAGCTAACAGGGATGTGCTGTGCTAAAGGCTGATGTTCACAAAATTTGACAGCAATGGTATAATTTGTTGGCAATGCTTTTTCCAATGAAATAGTAATTATCAGGGTCTGTAGTATGCTTTTTAAAAATGTTCCCTTTTATGATGCAACTCTAGAGTACTTCTTTATATCAATCGTTCCTCTCAGTGACTAGCCATGACTGAATTTCAGACTGCAGAGGCCAAAAATTGAACCGCAAATATTTATCAGCTGTTCTACTACTGAGCAATGATCCTTTTTTGAGGTTGCAACTTACTGGAAATGGAAATACCTGTTTACTTGAATGAATGTTGTAATCTCTTGTAGTTAAAGTATGTGATTTTTGGAGTGGAGTAGGACGTAACACTTTCATTGTGAAATTTCGTGTTGCTTGTACTTTGTACATTATTCATTTTATGATCCTGTAAACACTGAAGCTTTAGTCAATATTGTTGATAGAAGTGGTTAAGGAAGAATGTAATTTTAGCTCCTCTACTAAAAATATTTTTCACTTCACTTAAACAGCAACCAGGTGTTATGAAATATTTTGATTCTTAAAAATGTGTGATCTCAACTAGGGATTTTGAATTAAGATTTCTAGATTTCCTGTTATGATAATGTGATACAGGCAAAAAGTTGCTTCTTTTATTGGCTTTCACCTGGTTATTTCTAATTTGCACCAAGAGTCAATAATTGACAAGGTATCAATTTGTTTTTTTATAAGTATAGAAAAGAATTTCAAATGTTTGATAAATTCATTTATTTTAAGAGGAAATATAAATAATAGTTGATTTGGCCACAAAGAATGTTAAACTGAAACTACCTTACTTTCCACAAACACAAATATATAAGATGCCAGATGCTAATCAAAATATTTAATTTTAATTAGATTAATTTGTACAAGAGTACAAGGTTTTATAAGATAAGAAAATGTGGAAATTTTCTGAAAACAGACTAATACAATGTACTTTTGTTATTTTCAGTATGACAATTTAAAATTCATATTGAAACTAATCAGCTACTATAACATGTAGCATATGGATTCACATTTTTAATATTACATTTAAGTGGTGATCTGCTACTGTATATCCTATTGTGGCCAGCACAATTTTTACTGGGAATTCTGATCTTCATTCAAACCTTTGAGTTAAAATGAAAATTATGTCAACTCTAAACTAAGTTTCTGTAGCAATTCTCAGTCATCCAGGTCATGGTTGTCCCAAAGTGTTTTTTTAGGAGGCAATTGGACTTTCTTGGTTTTTCTTTGAGGACATTTCGCTTCTCATCCAAGAAGCTTCTTCAGCTCTGACAAGATGCTACTATCCCCACTATCCTGAGTTGCAGAAGCTTCTTGGATGAGAAGCAAAACATCCTCAAAGAAAAAACTAGAAAGTCCAGTTGCCTCTTAAGAAAACATCTTTGGGTCTAAGCTAAGTTCCATATTTTACTAGGTAGTAAAGATTTTAGCTTCAGTTTTTAGCATAGAAATAACTCTTTTAAGTCCTCAAGTTAATGCTCTCTAGTCTGTTGGGAGTGGAGGTTTTGAGACTGGTAAATTCCATACATGGCTGTTAAATGAATCACTGCAGTTGTTAAATGAATCACACGGTTGTGACTTTGCTTGCTGGAAACTGGCTGGGAAGGTTCAAATGAAGGCTAAAATAAATTGAATTTTGATCAGGGGACTATGGGGATGCTGAGACTGTCATAAGTACGAGGACCAATCCTTTTTCAGTGCTGTTGTAACTTCAAACAGTCACTAAACAATTGGTTGTAAATTGAGGACTACCTGTAAATAATTTCATAATCTTAAATAGAGAGATTTATGTGGTCATAGAAGTCCATAATTTCACATATATAATGGTGTGCTAATATTTTACTTTCTCGCCCTTCCCTTGCATACAGTGAGGATGTGAGCAATTCTTAAAAGACGCTCAGAAAAAGAAAACATTAAAAAGAAGTTGGACTCAACTTTTATGAATTGTTTTGGCTGTTTTTGCTTAGGTCGAACAAATTGTTGCAGAGTTTAAAGTTAGAGCTCTTGAATGTCATCCAGACAAGCATCCCGGAACCCCTCAAGCTGGTATGTCTTTCTCTTTTTCTTTCTGTAAGCCACCATGAGGTGGAAATGGATGCTCTTGGGCGAAGCAAGCATCCTCATTAGCACCCAGTGAACTAGAAAAAGGGAGTGATATTCAAAGGTGTAATTCCCTCGTCATGCAAATTTGGGTATCCTGTCTAAAATAAAGTTAGTCACCTTGTTGGTCGGCTGTTTAATTGCAAGTGTTCAGCTCTTAGATCCTGCTATCCTGTGACCTAATCTATTTATTTATCTGATCCCCTTCTTTGAGGCTCTGGATAGAATATCTAATCATGATGACTAGGGACATGACTCTGGATCTGGATTAATGCTGGGCTACCAATATTAGGTGAAGTGGCCCTTCCAGTAGTGAAATTCAATTTTTTTTATTACTGGTTCTATAGGCGTGGTTTGGTGGGTGTGGTTTGGCTTGGTAGGCATGGGTTGGTGGGCCTGGTAGGGAAAGGATACTGCAAAATCTCCATTCCCACCCCACTCTGGGGACGGCCAGAGGTGGCATTTGCCAGTTGTCCAAACTACTCAATATGTTCGCTACCAGTACTCAAAACCTGCTGGATTTCACCCCTGGGCTCTTCCCCACTTGTACTTAACCACAGCACAAATGCAGCTTAGTTTTCATGTTGTGGCTCACTTTCATCTAATCCTCAGGCTGTGACTGTGAGGGGCTTAAGCCCTCCTTAATTATATAAACACCTTTAAAAAAAAAAACAGTCCCCAGCCATATGCACCCATTTCATCAGAGAGAAGTTAAGGGACTACCATGGGTTGAAAGGAAGCCAACAGAGGCAAGATTAGCGAGGAAGAAAGCACATTTCCTGTTAATATAGTTTTCAGATGATTCAAGGCTGGCTGGAGAGCACTTGAGATACACTGGTGTGATTTTATTGGCATCACCTAGTGCCTAATTGGTGATATGTGCAAAGAGGTTCCTCTTCCTGCTTGTTTATTAACATAAAAGCTTGGAAAGGGTGCTATTTTCAGCAGTGGAAAACCACTGAAACTATTACATGCCTGCAGTAAATTGATCCCAAGTGAATCACACATCTTGAGCCTCCAGGGGAAATCCACTGCAACACTATACAAGCCTATCATCCTGCCCATTAATCTCAATTTATTCCTCTTTATTTAAAAAAAAACATTTATTAACACAAATCAGTGCAGATGCACAAAGACTGTCTCAGTCTCAAAGGTGTTTTTTTCTTCAAAAGGTAACTGGACTGTGGAGGATGTGTAGATAAATAAGAGCTAGGGAAAATACTGCATATTAATTAAAATGAATGGTGTGTGTACTTCCTCAAAAAAATCCATTAAATCATTTATGATTCCCGTGTGTGTGTGTGTCACAAAATTTGCGTCACTAAAAAGAAAAGCTACCACCTTCCTTTTGTCTTCATCGCTTCCTGGACAAGCACTTTCAGACTGCAAAATGGAAAGAAGCCATTTAATCAGAAAAGCAATCTCGACGATGTTTGTATTCGTCAGCCCTTGTTAGCATTTGAATTTCATGTATTTCCAAACAAATATCCGTTTTAGTAAACCTGCATAAATGAAGGATCATTGTTGGTGCCACAGAACAGAAAGGTGACTCATAGTTAAATACATATTTTCATCATCTGTACAGATGCTATTTCTGTTACCAGGAGGAGGAGTAGAAAGATTTAAATCCCCTAGAGAGAAAATACAAAAAGCTCACCACCACAATGCAAACCAGCAGATTGGTAATCTGTTACTTGACCTTGACCTCTAGAAGATGGGTGGACTTCAAAGTTGGCTGGGGAATTCTGGGAATTGAAGTCCACCCATCTTCAAGAGGTCAAGGTTGAGAAACACTGGCCTGACTCTGTCTGTTGCAGAGGCATTGAAGATTCAGCAAGTAAATTCCATTTTATCTATTTATATTTATTTATTTGTATCCCACTTTTATTATTTTTATAAATAATTCAAGGTGGTGAATACTTCCTATTCCTCCTATTTTCCTCACAACAACGACCCTGTGAGGTGGGTTGGGCTCAGTGGTGGGTTTCAAATTGTTTTAGAATGTCTTCTGTAGGTGTGGCCTGCTTTGTGGGAGTGGCTTGCCAGCCATGTGATAGTGGGCGTGGCCAACTTGTAAAATGTGGTAAACTCTTAACAAGGCTCTTGCTTAGCAACAAAAATGTTGGCTCAGAAATTCTAGCATTTGAAGCACGCAAGTCTTAAAGTTGTCAAGTTACAAGACCCTTGCACCCCTAACCCTTTAGAAAAAAACCTCCAGGGGTGTTCAAACTTCGCAGCTTTAAGACTTGTGGACTTCAACTCCCAGAATTCCTCCTCTCGCTCTTCATCTTGATGATGTGCGGACGGACAGAGGGAGGGAGCTGGAACCGGTTCTAAACAGCACTGTAGATTTGTGGACTCTCTTCTATAGAAGAGAACTGGCAGGAACCCACCCCTGTTTGGGCTGAGAGAAAGTGACTGGCCCAAAGACACACCAGCTAGTTTCATACCTAAGGCATTTTGTTGTTGTTTTGTGCATGTGGGTGTGCATAATGTAACAAGTCAAAAGCAGCATGCCACTGATCAGACCTGGGATGTCCAACCTTGGCACCTTTTAAGACTTGTGGACTTCAATTTCCAGAATTCCCATGCTGGCTGGAATATTCTGGGAATTCAAGTCCACAAGTCTTAAAGTTGCCAAGGTTGGATACCCCTGAATCAGATTCCTTCAAAAAATGAATCTGATCATATGCTAGAAAAATGTGTGACTACTGTCCTCCATAAAACATCTTTCTGTTTCTCTTTTGTAGTGGAGAATTTTCAGAAGTTACAACATGCAAAAGAGATTCTTTCCAATGAAGACAGCCGAGCCCGTTATGACTACTGGCGAAGGAGCAAAATTGCTATTCCATTCCAGAAGTGGGAAGCCCTGAGCAACTCAATGAAAGCAGTTAGTTTTGTCTTGTGCAGTCACATATCTCGGAGAAATGAACCATTATACCAGTTTGTGGGCAGGAACGTTGGGTGGCAGAGTTATGGATATTTTTTGTTCACTATTCTGCAAACTGCAGTCAGTCCCCTTAATCTTCCTGGTACAACTCAAGAAGCTGATGATCACTTCAAATATCTTACCTGGCATAGGATCTGGTTATTTGTGGAACCACTTTCTTTTAAGGGTGTCTGATTGTCCCATATGCCCCAACAAGGAGAGAATGCTCTGTTTTCAGGGGTGGGCTGCTACGGCTTCAGCCAGTTTCGGGAGAACCCATAGCTAATGTTATGGTCGGTTCGGAGAACCTCCAAATCCCACCCCTGGCTGACCCCACCCACCCCTCTCCACCCTTCCCAGGAGTCTCCACGTGGCCCATTTTGCATGTGAGGTAAGTGCAGGGCCCGCGCGGAGGCTCGGGGAGGGGGGAAAATGGGACACCCAGAAGTTCTGGAAGGCCGAAAACAGGCTAGTTTCCAGTCTCCAGAGAGACTCCAGAGACTGGGGGGGCAGTTTTTGCCCTCCCAGAAGCTTGAGGAAAGCCTCCAGAGCCTAGGGAAGGTGAAAAGCCCCCCTCCCCTCCCCGCTGTTGTGCAGGAGTCTGACTAGGCCACGCCCACTGTGACCACGCCCACCCAGCAACCGGGCAGAGAACCCCTTGCTAAAATTTTTGAAGCCCATCCCTGTCTGTGTCCCCTCCTTGAAATAATGCCCTACCTTCTCGGTGGTGGCCCCTGCCTTTTGGAACTTCTCTCTGTCTACAGTTGGCCCTGATCCTGCAGATGTTTAGAAAGGCGGTCTGAACCTGTCTTTTTCTACAGGCTTTTGGGTCAGGATATATTCCCAATATGAGTTAGAGTGTATCTCACTCTGGTCACCATTTTATTTTATTTTTTAAACAAGGCTTTAATGCTGTGTGGTGTTTCTGTATTGGTTGGTTTGATTGGTTGGTTTGATTCTATAAAGCATCTGCAGCCTGGGGAGGGGGGAAAAAAGGACGCCAAAAATGGGGGGGAGCGCTGGTCGTGTGTGCATGCGTGCTGGGGTTGTGCGCATAGCATTATGGGTGTGGCACGCCCGCACACAACCCCCCTGTGCTCCCTG